GGGGCCCTGGGAGGTGGGGGGGGAGGAGGGGGGGAGGGAGGGGCAGCGCCACTGCCAGGCTTCCTCTCCCTGCACCAGGGAAGGCTTCCAGCTCCGAGGTGGGATGGGGCCGCAGCGTCCAATGGAGGAAGTGGGGGCTACTGGGTGGGGAGGGGGCGCAGGTGGTGCCAGTGCCGACGAGTCCAGGGTGGCAGGATCACTGTGCCAGGGGTGGCCAGGAAGTGGCCCACCAAGCCTCCTCGCCCTCCAGCAGTTTCCTGCAACAAAGGGGGCAGGGTTAGGGCTGCTGCGGCCTGGAGCCCTCACGCCTGTCCGTGGGGCCCAGGCAGACCTGCAGGAGGGTGCCGCCCCTGGGGCTCCTGCCGCAGGGCTCCTCGTGCCGTGGTTGTGCGGGGAGGGGGCTGTGGGGCAGGGCCCGTGTGGTCCATGGAGCGCCAACTGAGACCCACAAGCCCAAGCACTCCCCTGCCCCCTCAGGAAGGCATGCAAGGAACTGGATGGGGCACCCCGAATGCCTCCCCTGCCCCCCCAGCGGCGGCCGTGGGCGGCCACTGAGCGGCTGCTGGACAGAGCGCCCGGCCAGCAAGCAGGCAGGAGGAGCAAGTGGCCGTGGGCAGGGGCCGCCGTCGTCTGGCGCTGGGAAAGCAACCTGCTAACAGCGCCGCATTCGAACTGAGAAACGGATGGCGGGTCACGGAGGGGACGGGGCCCAGGCAACGCCCGCAGGCCGCGCGGCGGCGTCTAAGCCCGACCTGCTCCGGGAAGCTGGCTGGCTCTTCCCTTTGGCCCCGGGTCGCCCTCCGCTCTCCTTGGCTGCTCCCGCCTGCCCACCAGCCCTGCTTCCCCTTCAGCGCAGCCTCGGTGCCCCTTTCCCCCTCCCAAGTGCGGCCCGGCCCAGCAAGGCCGCACCTGCTCCAGGCCTTTCCGCCCCAACGAGCTCGGCCCGGACTGCGTGGACAAGACAGGCGGCCTGCGAGGCCCACAGATGCCACTGCGGCAGGGCTGGGTGGTGCAGGGCCAGCGCCCCTTCCGCACGAGCAGGCCGCCTCCCGGCCCAGCAGCACAGCCGCCCCTTCACCAAGCGGAAGGCCCCCGCGTCCAGCGCCCGGCACTGCCCGGCTGCAGCACTGAGGCAGCCTGGCAGAGTGGGTGGGTGCATGGGGGGGGGCGTACCTGTATGCCGCTATCTCTATGTCCAAAGCCATCTTGACATTCAGGAGCTCCTGGTACTCATGCAGGTATCGTCCCATTTCCGCCTTGGCCTCCGAGACCTCTTGCTCCAGTTCCGCCACTCTCTCCTGGGAAAGGGTGCAAGTGGAGAATGCAGGGAAGACCGCGCTGCTTATCTGGCCTCCGCCACACACGGAATCCTAGGCTAGCAGGCGGGGAGGGGCTGAGAAGGCCATCGGGTGCAGCCCTGCTTCTGCAGGGCACCGAGTCACACCATCCCTATCAGATGGCAGTCCAGCTTCATTTTGAACGTCCCCAGTGTGGGGGACCCACACCTCTCTGGGAAGCCGGTTCCCCTGTCATCTTGCTCTGACAGTGAGGAAACCGTTCCAGGAATCTAGCCTGAATCTGGGGTGTCACGACTTGCCTTGGTTATTCTGTGTCCCACACTCTGGCATCAGCCAGAAGAGATCTTGACCTTCCCCTTTGTGACAGCCTTTGAGGTACTTACAGAGGGATACCATGTGCCCCCTCTGTCTTCTCTTCTCAGGGCTGAACATGCCCAGTTCCCTCAGTCTCTCCTCACAGGGCAGTGTCTCCAAACCCTGGATCATCTTTGTTGCCCTCCTCTGGACCCTTTCTAACCTTTCTGCATCTTTCTTAAATCTTGAGACACAGTATTCCAGATGAGGTCTGACTAGTGAGGAGTATAGGGGAACTGCCACTTTTCATGATTTGGAAGTAATACTTCTGTTAATCCATCCCGAAACAGCATTTGCCCTTTTGGCAGCTGCAACAAACTGTTGGCTCGTATTTAGCCTGTTGCCCACAGTAACTCCAAGGTCTTTTTCTTTTTTCAGTTCTGTTGAGCCACATATTCCCCATCTTGTATCGATGTCTTTGGTTTCTTTTTTTGAGGTGGAGGACTTGGCACTTGTCCCTATTGAATCTCATTCTGTTGCTTTGTGTTCAGTGTTCAAGTTTATCAAGATCACTCTGGATCTTCATTCTGTCTTCTAGGGTGTTTGTTATTCCACCCAGTTTTGATTATCTTTCCTTGTACTTCCTCATCTAAATCATTAGTAAAGACGTTGAAGGGCACTGGGCCCAGGGCTGAAGCCTGCGGCACCCCACCAGTTGCCTCCCTCCCTCCGTTCTGAGGAGGTGCCACGGCTGAGCACCCCGTGTCTGACTCGGCAGCCAGTCTTCGCTCCACCGAATAGCTCTCCTAGCTAGTCCACGTTTGGCCAGTTTGCTTCATAGGCTGTCGTGGGGCACTATGCCGAGAGCTTTGCTAAAGTCCGGGCAGATCATGCCCACAGTGTTCCCTCTGTCCACCTGGGAGGTTACTCAGGAAAAAATGAAATGAAATTAGTCTGCAGGCTCTTATTAGTCACTGCATTTTCTCAAAGGTGTTTGCAGGCTGATTTTGTAGCAATTTGCTCCAGAATTATTCCAGGACTGATGTCAGACTAACTGGCACGTAGTTCCCGGTCCATCCTTTCTCCCCTTCTTGCGGGTGGGGACAATGTCGGCCCTTCCCCAGCCATCTCGCGCCTGGAAGCTGATCGCAGGTACCAGCCAGTGGTCCCGAGAGCTCCTCCGCCAGCTCTGTCCTGACACTGCGATGGAGTCCACCGGGCCCTGGGGACCCGAATGTGTTTATTGCAGCTAGGTGCTCCTTGGCCACCTGCCTGCCAGTCTTGGGCGGCCCTGTCGCACCTGCAGCTTGTCCTTCCTCTTGGTCGTAGATGTTCCTGAGGGACAACAGAGGCGAAGGAGGGACTGAGTGCCTCCGCCGCTCCCTTGCCGTCTGTTATCACGCTGCCGTCCGCTTTAAGGGGCTGGGCACCCTCCTCTTCCTCATGCCTTTTGTTCTGGATGTGCCTGAAGGCTTTCTTTTTTTATAGTAAGTTTTATTCAAAATTATAACCCTAAATAAAAACAACATCAATCATCAAAAACATCGGACCAGCTGGGTCAGCCCCCACATTTTTTTTCCCATTTATGATGACTTAAAAACAGATTTAAATCTATACGAAGTCCCGTTTCTCTAGTCAATAATAAAGAGAGTCCCAAGTTTGATAGAAATCAGTATCTTCTTTCTCCTTCAACAACAAAGTCAATCTATCCATTTCTGCGCCGTCCAAGATCTTTTTTAGGATCGGTTCGTCAGTGGGTGGTTCTTCACTTTTCTAGTGTTGAGCAAATGCAATCCTCACCGCAGTAATTACATGTAAAATCAAATACATTTCTTGTTTACTAATATCAGCAAGTATAATGCCTAATAAGAAGACTGCCTGGAGGCTTTCTTGTTGTGCTTAGCATCCCTTGCTAGTCTCAGCTCATCGTTGAGGCCCCATCGGTGCCGGTGTTCAAGGACAGGCTGGACATGCACATGGTGGGCATGTTGTGAGTGGAGCCGGCTGGTGCCGGAGGTCAGACTAGATGGCCCGGGAGGCCCCTTCCGACTTGCTCTGCTTCTGTTTCCTGCTGTGGCCTTTCTGGTGCCGCCCCTGCAGTGCCTTGCGGTGCGTCTACATGCTTCCTCTGTGGCCTGGCCCTGCTTCCACCTCCCGTACGCGCTCTCTTTTGCCGCCAGGTTGGCAGCTTCCTGTGGAGCCATGCGGGCTCCCTCTGCTCTTTTCTACCTTTTTCCTTGTCGGAATTGTTCATGGACTCCCCGCCCCTCTTGGGCACCTTCCCCCTTACGCGTGAGTCGCCGCAGCACCTCGCTGATCATGGTCCGGAGGGTGCCAGATCCGGCCTTCTTGACGCCCAGGTTCGTGCTTGGCTGCGGTTAACCTTTCCCTCCTTCATAACTGAGGATTCAAGTGCCGCATGGCCACTTTCTCCTGGGTTCCAACGGCTGTTACTTTGTCCACCAGGCCATCCCCGTTAGTTGGCATTAAACTGATCCTGGGGCACACGGCCATGGAAAGATGCCTTGTCCCTTGGCTCTTCCAGCCCTAACGATGCCCCTCTGGACACAAAATGGTGGCACTTCCTGCACACCCGCCAGCAGAGAACAGAAGAGGGGTCTGAGGGCATTTCTGCCATGGGTGCAGCATGGTGTGGTCACTGGTAGCTACCACACCTGCACCCCACTGCTGGGGGGGGCCTGCTGCTCCCCCCCAGGGAGCAAACCTCTTGGCCAGCCCTGCACTTCCATGTCGCTCAGAGGCAGCCACTGGGGACCGGGGCTGGCTGCCCGTGACTGGCCCACGCTGCCGGCCCCTGGGCTACCCGTCCGCTTGCGGTGGTTCTTCGAAAGGCTTGGCGCGAGTGCAGTGTGGCCTGGTTGCTGTCTCGGCCTGGCCCAGCCCGGACCAGCCGGACCAGCCAGCGGCCAATCAATGCTCCTCTGGCCCCACCCAGTTCCCAGGTGCAGCCTCTCGGCCCTGTCAGGTGGGGCTAAGGCCCAGACCTGTCTGCCCCACCAGGAGATCCTGCCAGAAGCGTGTGTGGCTTGAGTCCGAGTCCCACAGAGGCCGCCTGGCCCAGAGGCCAGGGGAGCAGGCTGGCTGCTGGGGAGCGGAGAGTGGGGAGCTCAGCCAGCGGGAAAGGGGGGCCATGGGGCCACGGCCAGGATCCCAGGACAAGAGCAGCACATGCGACTGGCAGGGCGGAATGGCTCCCAGTGACGGCAAGCTGGGTGTGGGAAAGGGGTGGACCAGGAGCCAGGGCAGGTCGGAGCAGAGCACGGAGATGGGAGCGGGCAAACCCCCCGCTCAAACAGCGCCAGCCAGAAGGCCCAGCTGCAGGCCTCCGTGGGCTGGAGACCCCCTGCTTTGCGATCTTTGGGCCAGAGAAAGCCCGGCATCACCCTGCCCTGCTCCCGCCCGCGGCCTCCAGGGAGGTCCTGCTGGGGACAGGGCCCTCCGTCCTACCTGGCAGCGGGCCACCTCCGCGCTCTGCTGCCCCTCGAGGCTCTCCAGCTGCGTGTGGAGCAGGTCGATGGCCCCGCGGAGGGCATCCATCTCCGCCGAGCGAGACTGCAGCAGGCGCCGGTACTCCACGGTCTCCTGGCGGACGCTGCGCACGGCGCCCTGGTTCCGGCTGGCCAGCTCAGCCACCGAGGCGAACTTGGAGCGGTACCACTCCTCCGCCGCCTGCATGTTCTTGGCAGCCAAGCTCTCGTACTGGGCTCGGATGTCGCGCAGCGCTGCCGACAGGTCGGGCTTGGCGGCGCCGGCCGGGGCGCCCTCCGCGACCGCCGTCCGGGCGGCCTCGGCTAGCTCGGCTTCAGCCGCCAGCTCGGCTCGCTCCTGGCCCAGCAGCTTCTGCAGGAAGGCGAACTCGGCGCGCAGCGAGCCGGCCGCCCTGTCCGCGTCGGCGACGGCCAGCGCGGCCTGAGCGGCCTCCTGCCGGACGCGGCGCAGCGTCTCCTCGGCGTCGAGCCGCCGGCGCGCCTCCTGGGCATGGCGCTCGCGGAGCTGCCCGCAGAGCTGGCGCAGGCGGTCGCGCTCGACCTCCAGGCGCGCCTTGTCGTCCTTCCCGGCGTCGAGCAGCGCCCGCAGGCCGCGCACCTCCTGCTGGTAGAGCTGCGGCAGGCTGGCGGGGGCGCGTTGCTGCCGCCGCAGCGCCTCCAGCTCCAGGCGCAGCGCTCGGTTCCGGTGCTCCAGGTCCCGCACGCGCTCGATGTAGGTGGCGAAGCGGTCGTTGAGCTCCACCAGCTGCGTCTTCTCCTGGGCGCGCAGCCCGAGCAGCTCGGCGTTCAGGTTGCTCACCCGCGCCAGGTCCAGGCGCTCCAGGGGGTCGGGGCCTGGGCCGGAGATGCGCGGCGAGCGCCGAGCGGCCGAGGAGACGCTTCCCCGGACGGAGCGCGCGCCGCTTCCGCGACCCTCTTCCCACGGCCTGCGCCAGCCCGGCACCTCGGAGCCCATCCTGGCCGCGCCGCGCAGGCGGATCTCCGAGCGCGGCTGCCGGGCCTGGCGGAGCGCGCCGCCGCACCGCGCGCTCGGAGTGCCGCTCTGCGCCAGCCGCCGACTGCGGCACGGGAAGCGCTTTTAGAGGGGGCCGCTGTGAGGCGGGCCAATCAGGGCGCGCTGCGGGGGCGGCGCTCGGAGTGGCCGAACGCGCCGGCGCGCGCGGATCACGGGCCAGCGGGCGGCTCTCCGGGCCCGGCTCTGCTCGTTGGCCAGGCCGCTGCCGCGAGGCCGCCCGGGACCCTCCCCGCTCTTCTCAAGGCCTGGGAGAGACGCCCGCCCCCCGGAGCACGGGGCCGATCTCGGGGAGGGGGGGCGTTCCCGGTTCGGGGCCCTACGCCCGAAGCGCGGGGCTGCTGCGCGAGCACTGGGCAGGCCCGCCGGGGCCGCGGTGGCCCCGCGGAGGAGCCGGGGCAGTCGGAGCGGGCGGCCGCGAGAGGCCGTGCCTGGGCCGCCTGGCGTCGCTCTTGCGCTGCGGAACCCAGCCAGCGGGTCCCTGCGGCCGCCAGCGCGCGCTCCCGCCCCGCCCCTCCGGTCCCTCTTGCGCGTGCACGCGTACAACGCGCAGCGCGGCAGCGGCGCGCGCCAGGCCTCCCCCGCAAAGGGAGCGGGCCCGGAAATCGCCCCCGCCTCGCAAGCGACGCCTCCCGCTCACCCTCGGCCGCGGCAGCCCTTGCCTCCCCACCGCCAGCCCCGAACGGGCCGGTAGGCGAAGGCTGCCGCCCCTCGCAACGCACCTTCGCCCCCTCCCGGCCCTGCGAGAGGACGGCCTGGTGGGGGGGGGCACTGCTCCTGTCGGCCGGGGCGCCACAGACGATCGCGCGGGCTATCGATGGACGGGGCAGCCGAGAGGCGTCCGGTCGTTACAGCCCCTTTTCTGCCAGAGCCCCTCCTGGCATGGCGCGTGTGCGGGGGGGGGGCATCGAACCCTCGGCTGGCCTGGAGGGCCACACTCCAGACGGGGGCCAGAGGAGCGCATCCTGCGCGGCATTCTCTTCGCACAGCGGGCAACCCGCTGCCCGCAGGAGCCTACGAGCACAGGGGGAGAGCAACCGCATGTGTAAAGTTGCCCAGTGTAAAGTTAATCTATGCAATTCGCTGCCACAGGGAGGGTGGCAGATGCCAGCCCGGGCGGCTTTGCAAGGGTGGGCAGGCTCGTGAGGGAGGGGCTACCGGGGCCGCTAGCCCTGCTGGCCCCGTGCCCCCGCTTCCTCAGAGGCGGCCGCCAGCACATGCCCGCGGCCGAGGGGCTCGGGAGGGGGAGGCCTTGCCCGTCCTGCTGGAGGGGTCTGGGGGCAGCCGGTTTGCCTCCGTGTGTGCGGAGGGCCGGGCTGGGTGGGCCTTCGGCCTGATCCGGCAGGGCCCTTCTTATGTTCCTATTATAACTCCGCTTGCTTGCCTTTTTTTTCAGCTAAGCAATCGCAAATGCCGGATTTGCACTGCCTCTCGATCGTTTTACTGGCCCTTTTCCATACTTCCTCCAGCTCCACAATGCCCTTTTCTAAGGACCAAGGGTTCAGGTTAGGGATTAAGGACTGGCACTATACAATACTGTCACGCCAAAGAAAAATACAGTCTTGGCAGTTTTAGTTCCAGTTCCTGTATTAATTACCCTTGATGTGGCATTGCTTTGATCACAGCAGCTGCACACGAGGTCAGTAGTCCCATCCGCCACAGTCTCCAGAGTCCTTTCCTGGCCAGTCAGTCACTGCTAGCTCAGATCCCATCAGCATAGACATGAAGTTGGGGTTTTATTTTTTATTTTCTTGCCCCAGCATACTTGACTGGCTCGCTTACAATCGCTGCTTCAAGGGCCCATTCCCCCGTCTGAAGAGGTCCTTCTGAAACTCTTTGCAGACTCCTTTTTAAAAACCACCCCACATAATTTGGTGCCATGTGCCAACCTGGTATATCTTATTTACTCCTAACTCCAGATGATTTATGAACAAGTTGAAAAGCGTTAGACCCAGTACAGATCCCCGCATTGGGAGAGTTTGCCGTCTGTTCCCACGTTGTTTTCTTCCTTCAACCACTGACCGAGCCACGCGAGAACAGCCCCTCTTCTTGCACAACTGCCACGTTTTGTGAAGAGTCTTTGGTGAGGAATTTTATTCAAGGCCTTGTGGAAGTCCAAGCAAACAAGGTGTCCTGAATCGCCCACCTGCGTGTTTATTGGCACTCTAAAGAACTTCAAAAGATGAGCAGCAGGGGACCTGCCTTTGCGGAAGCCGTGACGGTTTTCAGCAGCTCTGCGCCTCCATATGCTTGCTAAATTTATCTTTAACAATGTGTTACCCAGAATTGAAGTTAATTAGCCTGTAATTTCCTGGATTCTCTCCTCCGGCCCCACACTTCCCTTTGAGTAACTGGGGCTTTGCAGGCCATTCCCGGCCCTCTGATCCAGAGGACATGCCAGCTCTTTGGCAGGGGGAACAAATGGAGAGGAAGCACCTTTGGCTCAGAGAGACCCCGAATGCGAGGAAGGAGAACCCTGCGTGGCTTGAGATGTGGGGCGGGGGGCACAGCAGGGAGACCCCCGGCCAAGGCGCTCATCCAGAGCGCTTGCTGCTCGGGTTGTGCAGCCCCTCTGCCTTGCCCTCGGCCCCAGAGCCCGGCCTGCTCAGGCAGGAGCCTCCAGCACCATGGACAGGTCCGGCAGCGTGGAGGAGAAGCCGCACGGCCCCTTCCAGCCACCTGGCGGTGCGGCTCGCTTCGCACGGCTGCGGGCCGCCCCAGCCCGGTTCGCCACTGCGCCCTCCAGGGCAGCCCGACATGGCCCCCGGGGCCCGAGGGGGGTGGCACGATCCGGGCCGGCAGGTCCTGTGCTGAGCCCCCCCACTCCGGCCGCGGATCTGGCCAGAGCGCATTCCTGGCAAGGCGAGGGCGCGGGTGCCGCGGGCGATCGGAGAGGGCGGATGGGGCCCTGCCCAGCCTTGTACGGCGGAAGCGAGGCCTGGAAGTGGGCATTCGCGAAGGAACGCCGTCGTAAGGCAGAGGCCTCGCCGCTGCGGGGCAGGTGCGGGGGCCGAGCGGGATGGCCTCGTGGCAGGAGGCTGGAAGGACACCGCGGCAGAGGCTTTGGGGTGCGCTGGCCCTCCGGCCCCGTCCCGCTCCGGCCCCCGGAGAGCAGCCGCTCAGACGAGCGCCGCGGCGCCCGAGACCGACGTGACCTCGTGGTCCTCGGCCCAGGGCTGCAGGTTCTGCAGGGCGAGGAGCGAGGCGTTGTGCAGGCAGAGCGGGTCGTGCGGCTGCAGCGGCTGCCCCAGGCTCTTCTGGAAGGCCTCCTGCTGGAAGTGCAGCATCAGCCGGTTGGCCTGCTGGCGCTCGGCTTCGCGCTCCTCCGCCGTTTGCCGCCTGAGGAGAGACGGGCGGCCTGAGGCGCTGGCGGGGTGACGCACGGGCCCTGCGGCACGACGCGGGCTGGCGCCCTCGAGGCTCTGCCCCGCAGCGGAAGGACGGCCGACCGCGCGCCTCTGGGCAGGAGCAGAGCGGCGTTTTAGCCTCGCCCCGCGCGCCGCCGGCCCCTCCTGCAGACCCTTCCAGGCGTGCCACGGGCGGTTCGGGAGGGCCTGCTGCGCGCGCAGGCGTGGGGCCACGGGCCTGCTCTCCTGGACCCCGCGCCGCCTGGTGCACGGGGTCCCAGATCTGCCCGCTCCCCACCGGTCGCCCTGTTGCCTGCGCTTGCAGCGGCCCTGCAGGAGGGCCGGCCTGCTAGACCCGTCCCTGCCGCAAACCAGGGCGGCCCGCTCCCCCCCCCCCGCCCGGGATCCGCTCCCCCGCCTGCAGCGCCCCCGTGCGCTACCTCCACTTCGTGCGGCGGTTCTGAAACCAGGTCTTGACTTGGGCGTCCGTCATCTTGAGGGCCTTGGCCAGCGCCGCTCGCTCCGCCGACGCCAAGTACTTCTGCCGGTGGAAGCGCTTCTCCAGCTCGCAAATCTGCGCCCGCGAGAAGGACGTCCGCGGCTTCTTGCGCTTGGGCGGCGTGCGGTTCTGGTAGGGGTGGCCCACGCGGCGGGCCACGGAGAAGGGCGGCAAGGCGGCTGCGGGCGGAGCGGGAGGCAGCAGGTGCCAGGCTGAGCTGCGCCCGTGCGGGACACCCCCCCCCCCCGGGGGGGACCCTCTCCTCCCCCCCGCCCCCCCCCCGCACCCCTCGCCTAAGGCGGGCTCTCCCCTTCCCCGGGTCCAGGGACGCCGCCGGGGCCCCCCCCCCCGCCCCGCGGCTCTTCCTCCTCTTGTGAGCAGCGAGGACTAGCGGGGAGAACGAAGAGTCACCGCGAATCTCCCCGCGGTCCCATGGAGGCCGCCCGATGCCCACCGGTCTGCCACCCGCCACTTTCCCCTTCCTCTGCAGCTGCTCCTGCTCCTGGCTGGCCCGGCCCAATGGAGAGGCGCAGTTTCCGTCCTGAGCGGCCACGCGGTCCACCCGTGGGAAGATGCCTCTCAGCTGGGCCTGCCCGGTGCTGCGCAGGGGCCCACCGCACCTGGGGTGGGGAGCGGCGGGACGGTTGCTCCATCGCGCTCCCCCCCACCCCAGCTGCTGCGTCGGCCAGGCCCTCGGTCAAGGGGGCGGGAGCGGCAACCCGTCGCTGCTAGAGAGCAACACGCGGAGAGGGCAGCCGAGTGGCCCTTCCAGCGAGTCTCTCCGGTGGCGTGGACCCGAGGTGGAGGCGGCCGCGTGCCAGGCTCCCCCACCTGGAGCCCACCAGCTGTTCTGGGCTGCGTCGCCCAGCACGCCCAACCATTGGCGTCGGGAGCCGCGGTCCGCGCTGGGCAGGGGAAGGCCGTGCTGGGGAAGAGAAGCTCCACCGCGCCCCGTTCCCGAAGGAAGGAACTTGTTGCAGGACGGGCGCGTCTGCGCTCCTCGGCCAGGGCGGGCTGCCTCGGCCGAGAAGAGCAGGACGGCAGCCGCGCCCCCCCCCCCGCCGATATCTCGGAGCGCCGTGGCCGAAAGACCGGGAGACGCATGGCCAGAGTCTGCCCCGCCAGCACCCTCGCCCGCATCCTGCCTGGCACACGGGTGCCTCCGGCCGGGTGCGCCACCCTCGCGAGCCAGGCGCTGGACGGACCCTCCCGAGAGAAAGAGCTCCAGGGATGCCGGCCCAGGCGTGGCAGCCCCCCCCCCCCCCCGTTTCCGCCCCCCCCCCCCCCCCCCCCCCCGCACAGGGCAGGAAGCGGCTCCTTGGTTATAAAGCTGCGATCCTGCAGGTTGCTAAGAGGGCGCAGCGACCCCAGGACAGAGGCGCGGGGAGAGGCAAACGCCCCGGCGGGGCCAGGGGCCAGGCCCCGAAATAGAGTCTGTCGCAAAGCTCTCTCAGGCCTGGCCGGGCGCCGCGACGCCTCGTGAGCACCCTCATTCACGAGCACTTTCCGAGGGCGCCGCATTTGCCAGTGGCTGGAGGCGGGGTGGGGGGAGCCATGCCCCGCGCCCATCTCTTTCTCCGCAGACAGACCCGGCTGGGCGACCCGGAGGCCTGAAGACGCGGATGGCGCTGGCTAGATCCAGGCGGCGCACTGCCGCCTCGCCCGCGCCACGATCCGCGGAGGAAGGTCGCTCTCCTTCCCCGGAGGTGCGGGGCCTCGAGGCAGGGAGGCAGAGCAGGAGGGCCCCTGTTGGGGGGGGGGGGCTTGCTCCAGCCAGAGCGCAATTCGGCCGTCAGCTCGCCTGCTTGGAGCGGGGGTGGGAGGCGGGGTTCTCACCTGTGACCCGGTCCTTAGCCAGCCGCCGGCTGTTCTCCATCCAGGGAAAGGTGAGGTTTGCTCCTGCCGGCTGCGGACGGACGGGCGCCGAGGGAAGGGGCCTGTGCGCCGGCACGCGGATCACTCCTCCGCCGCCCGCAGAGGCAGCCCCGGGAAGCCCGTAGGCGCCGAGGGAGCAGGCCGGGTTGTAGTCCGCGGCTCCGAACCCCCCGCTGTACAGCGGCTCCTCCGGTGCCCCGACGGCAGCCAGACAGTTGCCCTGCGGCTGCGGGCAGCCCAGAATCTGATCGATCCCGAAGCGGATGGGCTCGTGGGGCGGCGGGGGCGGCGTGCGGACGGCTTCCCCTCGCCCCAGCCCGGGGGCCTCCATCCTGCCCGGTCAGCGGCAGCGCGGTCTCCTCATGCCCGCGCCCAGCGATCTCCGCCCCGCCAGAGACCTTTCCCCGAGGGCGCTCCCCGCGCGGCCCTGGCGGAGCTCAGGGCGGGGAAGCATCGCCGGGCCGGGGCCCCATGGGGCGGGAGGCTGCGGGAGGGCCCGCCGCCGCACAGCAGGGCCGCTCTCTCGGGGCTGGGTGCGCTGCCGCCTCCTCTCCGCTGGACAGACCCGGACAGCGCGGGGGGGCGCGAGGCCGCTAGCGCTTTTCTCCCAGCCTCCATCGCCGCCTGCCAAAAACCTCTGGCTCCAGCCTTCTGATTGGCGGCCTCCGGCAGTGACCGACAGGCCGCCGCCGAGAGTGGGCGGGGCGGGCCGGGAGGGGGAGCGCGGAAACCGCCCTGGAGCCACGCGCGCCCCTCCCCCTCCTTCGCTTTCCACTCCTCGGACGGAGCGGCTCTGCCAGGTCCGCGGCACGGGCAGCTCTCGCCAGACCGACGCTTGCTGCTCGGCGGCCAGAGGCGCTCCTGGTTCCACCGACGACCTGCCACCTGGAAGGGCGAGAGCCTCGGGCAGGCTCGCCTCGCCGGCCGGGAAGGGTGGCCTGGGAGGAGCCGGCCTCGGGGTCTCCGGGCTCTGCGGCAGCCTGACCGGCCCAAACGCTGCTGTCCGCGGCCCCGGCCTCCAGCCCCACGGACCAGGTTCGTTCCCCGCTCGCTCGCGCCGTCTTCGCGGTGCGTTTTCGTTTCCAGGACACGGCCTTCCCCGCCTCCAGTGGTTCCACGCGGACGACTGGAATCCGCTGCGCAGAACCAGAACACTTCCCCGCGTGCAAAGGAAGCCGTGACCCCCCCCCCCTTAAAGGGCTGGGTCTCCGCCCCGCAGCCCGGGCAAGCCCTGCGCCGGCCACTCGTCCCAGCCCGCCCTCGACCGCCCCTTGCCGGGTCTTCCCGCCAGCGCCGAGCCGTGGCGCTGCCCAGAGGCTGAGCCGGCGGTGAGCGGGTGAGCGGGGCGCTGTTGCTCCCCCGGATCCCGGGGACTCGACGGCTCGGTTCCGCGAAGAGCCCGACCCGACTTTCGCAGAGGGCAAGTCCGCTCCCCCTCCCCCCACACTTCCCCCGGTGCCTGAAGCGAACCCTCCTGAACCGGCGACTGTGCGCCCCCTTCGCCCTCTCTGGCGGAGCCCCTCGGAGCCGCCGGTCAGCCGAGCGCCATCCCGCGCCGCCAGCCGCAGATGCTCCCGACAGAGGCGTCCCGCTCCCTCCCGTAGGGCGACGCAGCCGGAGAAAGCCCGAGGCGGCTGGGCAGGGAGCGCAGCGCGGGGGCTCCCGGGACCCAGGAAAGCCGGGGGCTCAGCATCGCTCCGGAGCGGCCCTGCCCAGAGCGAATGCTTCCCGGAAGCAGCACCCCGAGCGCTGGAGCGAGTGGAGTGGCGGGAGGGACGGGAGAGGACGCAAGCGCTCAGACTGGCAGCACTCCTGGCTGGCCGCCTTCTCCGCAGCTGCGCGGCGCCCGCTCTGCACACTGTTTCTCCGGGACATCCAGAAAGTGCCCTCCTTACAAGGAGAACTACACGATCCTCCGTGACCGTTTTCCCGCCGTGGATAAAATTTCAGTTGTTGGTCCGAGAGGCCCGGCCCGGCAGGGAAGCTCCTTGCTGACTGACTAGCCAGCCTGGCACTTCCCAAGGGTTTGGCTGTCCATCACAGTAACGTGGGAAAAGGAGTAGAGCGCGAAGCCAGGAGCCCCGCGAGCCCCCCAGCCCGCCAACCGTAGGATCCGCCCGCTTCAGCGAGACAAATTCCCCGATTCTTCCAGAAACCGTCGAAGATGACGCATCGAAGCCGAAGGGCTGGCGTGAAGACACGAGCGAGAGCAGGAGCGAGATCGTCCGCAAGCCCCGGAGACATGCCGGGGTCCAGGCCCTCCCAGAGGCCGGCCGGCCGGCCTTTCTCCGGATGAGGTGCGCTCCTTTCTCCTCGGAAACCGCAGAGAGACCCGCAGCGCCGTCATCGGAAAACCAGGTACAGCCCGAGCCCCTCCGCCCACGTGGCCCTCCTGGGCGGAAACGCGGCCAAAGGCCACGGGCGCCGCGGCTCCGTCGCCATCTCTCCCGCACCTGTTGTGCGTTTTGGCGCGGGACTCCCCGGAGGGAGAGGCACGCGGAGCGGGCGCGCTGCGGCAGCCGGTCGGCGCCGACCCGCGGGCGCGCCTTGCCTGGGCGGGAGCGCGAGAGGAGGGAGGGACCCCAGAACAGTCTGGAGCTGCCTCGTGGCCGCTCCCCAAAGCCTGGACCTCGGGCCAAGGTCGGGGTGCCACGGAATGGGGCGACGACCACCTGGGGAGCGCCAGGCGGGTGAACATCCTCCCCTGGACTGGCGGGGAAGGCTGGGTTCACCTGCTGCTCATGGAAAAGCCTTTCATAGAACCCTAGGAGGGCAGAGTTGGAAGGGGCCAGGAAGGCCATCGGGTCCACCCCGTGCGGCTGCAGGGCACCACGTCACACCTCCCACTCAGGGGGCTGCCCAGTCTCAGCTTGAACGTCCCCAGTGTGGGAGCGCCCCCCACCCCCAGGCAGCTGGTCCCACGGTCGCATTGCTCTGACGGGGAGGAAGCTGCTTGCCACTTTTATTTTTTAAATAATCTTACGAGTTTCAGGATCAATACCAGAAATGCCAAAAGCGAAACAAAAAGGCATCCGCGTTCCTCACGCGTCACAGGATTGCACTGTGGGCCCCGGCTTATCTGACCAGAACCGGATGGGAGCAGAAACGCCCGAGACGCACCCTGTTAATTTTAGTGCGGATGGATCTCGTCTCTTTCTGCAACGAAACTCGCTTCTTCCCAGGGAACTGGGGCGCCGGGAGTGTCCTCACGTTATTCCCCGGGGCAGGGTCCTTGTGTTGGGCTCTTGCCGTCGCGAAGGCAGCAATGGCGGAGGTGGGGCCGCCAGGGCCCCTCCCGGCTTCCGTCTGGGAAGTCCCGGACCTGAGACAGCAGCGCGGAGCCGGGCCGCGTGCCGTTCGGGAGTCCCCGGGTCAGCTTTTGGAGCCCGGAGAGGCTGCACGCTCGTTCCGTCCCAGATTCCGTCCCCCGCAAAGAGCAACTAGTCGGACGCAGCCGGGCAGTGAAGGGCCGCCTCCGCCTCCCGGTGCAGCGCTTCCCGGAAGGGGCGAGCTGGGAAGCCCCGGACTGCGGCAGTCACGGCTGGCGTCCCGGGCGTGTCGCGCGTGTCCTCCTTGAATGGTCTCGTGTGTTGAGCCCTGAGCCCCGCCCCACTAGAAGTGCCGAAACTAACCCCCCCCCCCCCGCCCCGTGACTGGAAACGAGACAACGCTTCTGCTGTCGCCCGACGGACGGAAGGGAAGGGAGCTGGAAAGGGGGAAGCTGCGCGATGTCGCGGGAGAAACCTGCCTGCCCGCCATCTGCGGGCCCCACCGCCTTCGTCCACCTTCACGAAAAGCGGCGCGTCTCGCCCCCCCCCCCGCTGGAAATGCGCTCTGCTGCCCCTCCTTTGAGCGTTGGGGAAGCACCGGTCCCATCCCGTGCAAGGCGCCAGAGGAGCAGGGGAAGCGGATTGCCAAGCTCTGCCGAGCCCGCACGGCATGTTTCCAGAGGAGAACCCCGTCCCTGCTTCCTGTGCCGTGGGGAGGTCTCCTGCGATCGAGAGAGAAGGACGAGCCCCTTGGCTCTCCGGGGCAGCCCTCCTGCTTCTTCTGCCCAGCTCCTGCGGAGAGCAAGGCAAGCGGCGCTGTTGGCCACCCGCCGAGCCGCTGGCCCAGGGCTCCGGCGCAGTCCGGAGGAAGCGGAGGCCCTTCCTTGCCCAGGGATCGGAGCGTGGTCCCCAGGAGCGCCTGGCTGGAAGTGCAGGGCCGCGGCCTGGCCGGCTTCCTGGGCCTTATCCCAGGTAGAGGGCAGCCAGTGCCGTTGCAGAGTTGGGCGCCGCTTGGATCAGGGCCCAGTGGAGGCCGAGGGACACGAAGCAGCGGCGCCCGCCCTGGCGAGCCCTCCGGCCAGCCCTCCCGCGCGGGACCTCGGGAGCAAGCGGAGCAGGAGTGGAGCGGCTAGGTTCACGGCGGGCAGGGAAGCGCCGGGAGACTTTCCGCTTCTGGGCGGCTGATGCAGAAAAATGGGTGGGAAGGGGCAGCTGCAGGGAAGCGCCCCGCGGGGAGGCTTTCAGGCTGCAGGGGACGGATGAGCAAGCGCTGGGAAAGGGACGTGTCCGGCCCTGGGAAGGCCCTCGTGCCCGCAAGACGCACCGTCGGCCCGTGTTTGGGGCTGGGGCAAAGCGGACGTGCGTGGGGCGCCGCCTCTCTGGACACCTCCAGCCCCTTCCTTCCGAGATGCTTGCCTCTTGGCACCTCCTCAGGCAGATGCGCCCGCGTGGCAGCCCGTCCCCCGAGTCGGTCTCCATTCCGCGAGAGGCTCCGCCGGTCTTGTCCTGCCCAGCCCACGCCCAAAGCGGCCGGCCGGCCGGCAGTTGCGGCCGCGGAAGGAGGCAACGGAAGAGCCAGCCTGCCCTGGAACGGCGAGTGCCCGGCCTGAGGACCCCTCTAGGGGAAGCAAACGCTTCATGACCTAAATGCCTGGTGGAAAAGCGAGGCTTTCAACTGCAGGCTGGCCCTTCCCGGGGGGCGGCCTCACCGAACGCGGTGCAACGTACTTCTGAGTAGACATGCCCAAGAGTGCGCTGAAAATCTTACTCGTGGAAGCATGGAAACTCAGAAGAGTAGATTTGGGTTGGGAGGGGCAGCGATCACAAGGAAAGGAAACGACACAAAGCAGGGCCGACAGCCTGCGAAAGGGAAAGCGCGCCAGCGAAGCGCGGGAACCGGGAAGGCCGGCAGGGCGGAGGCTCCAGGCTGAGCGGCGCGCAGGGCAGGCCCGTGGGCCGAGGCGCCAGGTCTTCGCGGGACTCGAGCGCCCGGCGACCTGCACCGCGTCCTGCCCCGGTCGGGCCCCGCAGAGCTCCCTCCTCCAAGGCAAGCCCGTGGCCC